TGTACAGGCTGCTTCGACAGACTGCAAAAAACCTTGAATAGTATCCAAGCAAAAAGAAAAGTATAGAAATTAAAAAAAATATTGCAGGAAATGCAACCGAAAACTTACTTCAATGAAAGGCATAAGTAAATAAACATTTTTCAGTTCTCTTACGATAATTGTTTTATTTTCGATATCCCCTCTTTTTCCTCTCTCCCATAACTATTGAAAATACTTTTTAGTGCGGTTCAGGTCGATATGAGCCTGCCACTTTTCTTGCTTTATTTCTCATTTCCTGTTTGGCAGATCTCGGGGCGAATCAAATCTTAGGAGTGGGAGTTAGGAGAGGAGGGTTCAAGGTCGTTCTAACAATACAAAAAAACGTGTACAATTTGTTTCCACAAAGTTATAGCAATTTAATCTATCCTAGTGCCGGTGGGTCTAGAAAGACCTGCCACGCACTGGCGGAAATATCATTGGGGGCGCATTTTGGCCCGCCGCCGCACCAGATGAAGAATTATGATTTTTCTTGCCGCAGTAAACGTGTTATTTAACAATTTCTAAGACTTTTGATTGGTTTGATTGGAATGGATTATTGTAATCTTAGTTCAAACTACATTTTACACTATTATATTATACCAAAGCTGGCAAAATTACTCTAGTTTTATTTCTAAGTTGCAATAAAAATATACCTACTTATCAGAAAAACTTCAAGCTGTTTGTTAGTTATACTTATACCCCATAACTACTTATAACCCTTAATCATATCTCTATTTAAGCATGTGTTGTATGGAGCATGCCAAACTTTATTGTGTTGTAAAGTAGTGGCCGAATTTGTATGTAATACATAACAATACTAACAAATCAATTTTCTTTCAGTAAAATTCGTTAAGCGAGTCAATGGAAAGGAAGTCGCTCTAGTCAACGGTTATACTTACTACTGTCGTAAGCAGAGTTTAAAGAAAAGCACGAAGATATGGAACTGCACTTATGGAGGGACATGCCACGCGAGAATGGAAATCACCAACCACGTGAAACCGTCGCGACGTATCGTACTCTCAGCGAAATTGGAACATAAACATGAACCTTCAGAGTATTGTATCAGCAATGGATTTTATGTAAAGTTGTAATCATTAGAATTAAATATCATTACTACATGTTTCGGTTTACTCAAGCAGGTCGATCTCCGGGCAATACCTATTGTTCATAGTTATAAACCCGTAGTCACGTTACGTCATAGTTACGTGAATAAGTCGTGTTATCAAATTAATTGATGTTGGACGTTAGTTATTGTAAGTATCTTATGCAGGTTTAGACGATAGATTTATTGAATAGTACTTGAGGGTTATTAGAAAAATCGTTTAATGTTTCAGTCATAATATTACAATTAAGTAAAAATAGGTGGTTGTTTGACAGGCACTCAAAATGAGTTCAATTGTTAGGGCGGTACTTACACCCTCAATATTTATACCAGAATACCAGATTCAAAATATCAGAATATACCAGATAAACGTATTTTCTTTGTTAACCAGGATAATTTTAGCCTAACTACATTCATTAGAAATGACTGCTTATCGTAGATTTACACCCGTGGCGTCGTGTCGACCATTGCGTATTTTAACGTGTACTCAAAATTGATGTCTTTGTTGGTTCAAAAATAAATTACTATTTTACGTGAAACAGTTATAAAAAGTTTGATTAATGAGACTTAATAGTGTTATAGTGATAAATGAGAGTGGTCATGAACTAAAGAAAATGTTAAGAAAATTGATTTTCGGCAAGAAGTAATTTGAATAACAACTTGAATCATTTTGACCGTCGTTTCATGTTAGGTTTGTTGTTGTATAAGTTATTCCGAAAATTATGAATGTATTACTATAGTAATTAGTAATTATTGCTGTTATATTTAAAACCAAATATTTTGTCTTAATGTATGTCATGGTGTTTTAATAAATGTGTTTATGAATAAGATTTTAGACAAGGATAATTTAATCTTCATATACACAGATCTTATAAAATTCTAGTCCTACCTCAAAGATATTTAAAACTTTATTTAGTTAAGTATTTAAACGTACAAATATATAATTGAATGTTTAAAATAATATTTTAAAATTAAATGATCTCGTAATGTATTTTATTCTTGTGTGTTTGTGTGTGTGTTTTAAAAATTACAAATAAAAAAGACGTTTGAAAATGTTATGCTGTTTTTATGAAATTACTCAATTTGCCTCTAATAATTTTTCGATTAACACTCCAGGCACGTGTCTTATTTAGATCATTCCAGGCCATACCATGTTAGTAAAAGGTAGTATCAAAATTGTAAATAAAATAAATCTACTTAACAGATATTAAAAATTTAAAATGTATTTATGTTTTAGTGTACTGGGTTGCTAAGGACAATGGAAAAGTTCTGGCCGTTCTGAATGGATATACCTTCTACTTACGAAGGTTTCATCCGGTCAAAAGTACATGGAGTTGTACTCAAGCAGGGAAATGCAGAGCCAGACTCATGATAACCAGTGAGAAGAATGTGACAGATCGAGTGGTTGTTTCAGCCAGACTCGACCATAACCACACTCCACCTTCCTTTTCTATCTCCAATGGTTATTATATTAAAAATCATAAACATTATAATTATTATCTGTAAAGGTTTAAATTGAAACTTTTTACTTCGAAAGTGTTTGTTGGTGCAATAAATTTAGAATAAAAGTTCCTACAGTTTATAATTGCTTCTACTTTATCTTTGTGTGTGAAAGAACTCCTTGTTTCTTTTTTTTGTGAATACTAGTCCAAAGAGTTTTGTTAAATATGATTGTAATGATAGATGTTTATGCCTGGACAGGGTGTGGATTGAAAATAAGTACTTAAAAATAAACTTAAATTACAATATTGAATTCAGAAAACGTTTATTTAGGAGAACTTAATAGTGAAACCATGTTGAGTTACAACTTTAATTCTACTTTAATTCTAAGTTATTAAACTAAGGGAAACAATGTCTGAGAAATAGACAGGTACAAAAGATAGTTGAAATGTTTTTTATATGTCTTGCATTACATAAAAATATAGTTATATTATATATAACTTTATTGTGATACTGTTCAAGTGCGGTTTTACCTAAAGCTCGGTAACTTTTAGTACACAATTTTAAAGTTCAAACTATCCAACATCAAAAGAGTTGTTTAATTCAAACCACTATATTTATATAGTGTAATCGTTATGTTAATATGTACTTACTTAGTAGTAGGGTTCTAAATCTTGAATTTATGTTCACAATTAAATATTTTCAAACAAGTTCCTTTATAATCGAGGTAGGCTCGGTAAATTTTTATCATCTGATGAAAGAAACTTACATGTTACGATTTTTTGTCCCCGAAACCAAGAAAATATATATATTTATTATGTGCATATGTTCATTTGTTAGGTTAGATTAAAATTAAGAAAATGGTTGGTGAGGGATGTCGTAACTTCCTAAGCAGTAGAATAAGTCTAGTCAATGTTTTAATCATTTATACTACAAAATACAATGTGATTATTAAATTACAGTTCCTGCATTGCTGAATGTTATATTTTCTTTACAAGGTGATTTATAGAATTAATTGTAGTATACATATAGATTTATTTATTACATATGAACAGACATTTTACACGAAGCAGGAATCTATTATTATAATTATATTCATAGCTAATATTAAATTGAAAATACTTAAAAACGAGTGTAAGTATATTGTCGTTAAATTGTTTAAATATTTATGTGGCACATCTTGTTAATTGTTTATTTCTTAAAATAAGGTATTTATACGTCAATATGTATTACATACTTAGTACTTCAGTGATGATTAAACATATATATCTTTATTTACGTTTCTGAAACATAAGTTATACATACATGTTACAAATATGCATTTTTGAGTCTTCTCTTGTTATTTAATAAAGTTTCTGTGTATTAAACGTGTTTGTTATATTATTTCATGATTTCCTACAGAGATCCATCATCATCTATTGAAAGTAAGTTATTTAACATAGCATATTCTGATACGCTTGATTTTCACCATATTATAAATCTGTTCTTTTTTCCAGAGTTAAACATACAATGGGTGAAAAAAATAAACGGCAAAGAACTTGCTATCGTTGGCGGGTATACTTTCTACTGTCACAAGCAGAATCCCATTAAAAGTACCTGGACTTGTACAAATGCAATGAGGTGCAAGGCTCGAATGCTGCTGATGAATAAACAGGACCATTCTCTCCGCACAGTCCTTAGTTACAGACTAGAACACAACCATAAGCCACCATGTTTTACTATATCTGACGGGTATTATTATAAGACGTCTTCTCTTTATTATTTTTAAATTTTCGCGGATATCTTTATCAGTAGATCTTATCAATATCTAATAATACTAAATAAACTTTAAGTCCACTTTGTTTATTGTCTTGGTAACCAAAATGATCTCAGGCATTTATAATAATTAAATAGTACTTAGGTAGTAATTTATTATATGCAATTTAACCAGCATAAATAAAATTCTTATAAATTTAAAACTTGAGGAAGATTACTGAAATTTCCCGTGCCTATTTATGAAACAAACTTTTTCTGTAAAATTATATTATAATTATAATTTAAACTTTTCAAAAAACCGAATGGAGGGTCAAAATAATATCCTAAAATATTTATTGAAATTGTTAAATAAAAATTTGCATTATTCTTCTGAGTCAGTAAGTTAAAAGAATATTGTGTATTATATACACATTTTATATAAAAATAAATAATATTCGTTTATAGCATAGCTAATTAACTTTAAGTATAAAATAAATTATCTTGTCAATGACACCAAAGATTTGTTTCTTAATTAAATAATTTATTAAAAAGTTATTGTCATCCGATCTCAAACTTTGTTTTGTAGGCGCAATTTATATTTAAGTAGGTGGTTCAGTAGATATGTTATCAAAGCAATATAATATAAAACTGTGATATTTTGTTTTATTTTTATAAGTAGGATATCAGTAGCGAATCACTTGATGGTATGCTATCGGCACCGCTCATGGACACCGAAGGAGTTACAAGTGCTTTGCTGGCCTTTAGAGGTTTGAGGAGAGGGTATTTAAAGATTAATGACGAGGGGATTGGGTCTCCCTTAACGTCATTCACACTGTAAAAATACCACGCAAGATTTGACACACGCTAGTGTTTTGTATTTCCTAAATTAATCAATGAATGGTTATCCTTAGATAATGACGGTGTTTGGTGAATGTAATTAAAAAAAGTCACTATTCAGACCCGTGCACCTCAAAGAGCCAATAGACCACCACTAATGGGGCCCTATAGGGCTGATATTTAGCCGGGGTAAGCGGAATAAGGCACCGCGGCCTCGGCCTATAAGAGGAGAAGGAACGGGGAGGTTTCTAGTCAGTAAGAGTCTGGCATTCCGTTCCGCCAGACTCTAGGCGGGAGAAGTCATTTGATGATTTGCCCTAAAAAAAAAGATGCATTGCTATTATTGTAATTGTACATTTTTTAATTTACTTTGCTAAACATTAACATTTTTGTTTTAGTGCAATTCGTGAAAAAGCAGGATGGTAAAGAAATAGCTATTTTCAATCATTACACTTTCTACTGTCGACAACAAACCCTTAAGACTGCAAGCTGGGTCTGTACGAACTCACACAGATGCAAGGCGAGGATAGTGATGACTAATGCATTGGAGCCGTGGTCCCGAGTAATGAAATCCGCAAAACTTCATCACACACATCCACCCCCAACTTTCGTCATCCACGATGGTATTTACATAAAATTGTAATTTATTTTATAAGACATTCAAATTGGGATTTTTTTGGTGTTACCTTGTAAGTTACTTCTCTTTTATCCTACGGGGATTAAAATACGTAATATTTTGTTAAGATAAAATGGGATGTTTGGTACATTAATTATTAATATCATATTTTAAGTTTCAATTATTTTGTTATTAACTTCGTGTTTGTTTATAAGCAGACCAATCAGACTTAAGGCGGCACTCTGAGTTATTTAATGGTTGCTTAATCCAGCCCTTAGTTACTGTTTTCGAATCTAAATTTACTTCTAAGAATTGTATAGTCATCATTAAAATGTCTTTGACCATTATAATTTTAATGTGTAGTTAGCTTTTTTGGATCAAAAATACATAAGTTATTACTAGAAAATTACTGAAATTGATTTTTGGCTGGTTCTGCTATTAAACATTTCTATTAAATAGAATATTTTATTTTACCATACGTTATATTAGAGAAACCTTGTTTATCTTTTTAATAAATAAATTAATTTTATTACAAAATAGCTGCTGTTTAAATATTAACAAAAAAATCGAATCAGTAATCGACAGATTAAGTTACTTTGAAACAAAAGTACAATGTCAACTGAGTGTAAACGGGAGGACAAAGTGGTTTTATTTTAATTGAAAAACCGAGATGAGTTTATAAATATTCAATGTTAAATATTGAGTGAAGAAGCTTGGAAAAGAAGGTGCAGAAGAGTTATACATGACTTTACGTTCTTTGGCAGTAGAGTGATACCAAGAGGAAGGTTTCATACTTTGATTACAAATCCAAGAATGAAACCAGGCAGCATTCTTCCACCCAGACATGCCATCAGATCGTATACTAAAGACCTTGAAAAAAATATCATAAGCATCCTTCTTCTCTGAAAAGTTACGTGTAAATCGAAACAGTGTACTATTTAACTTTACACGTAATTTTTATATTTTCACTATGTAGTTTAAGTTTAGCCCAAACTCGGTTAACGAACTATACCAGTAAAAATAACGTTACTGCCTAAAACTACTATATCGTGAAGGTCCGGATCCGACCGACCTTATTGTGTTGAAAGATAAGGAGCGGTCTAGCTTAAATTTAATGTCCATATTACAGTATCTTCTTTGTTTTAAGATTAGAATGTTGTTTTTTATTAGAGAGAAATATATCATACTTATCATTATCAAATAAAATTGTTTCACTCATCCTGTAAAGATTTCGGAGGCTTATGGGACTCCGCAGTCAGCGACTACTAGGTACTCTATTGACTAAATATGCCAATCTTACAGTCAGGGTGGAAATAGTTTATCATTAAAAAAATAGGTTAACCGGGGTTTGAGACAAATTGAAAATTAAAAAATAATTTTCTTTGTTTATTAAATGTGTATACTCATTCTTTTACAGTACGGTGGGTAAAAAAGCGAGATGGAAAAGAACTTGTTATTTTCAACCAATACACGTTTTATAGTCACATGAAAAGTATGACTACTATCAACTGGTCTTGTACTTCTGCTGGCTGTAAATCTAGACTTATTACTACCAATGAAGATATGCCATCGCAACGTAAGATATTGTCGATGAAAGAAGGACATGCACACTCTCCACCGAATTACGTAATTGTTCACGGATGCTATGTTAAATTGTAGCCAAGGTTCTGGATGTTATGTACAACTATGACATGATTTTGTATTTTTTGTAAGATTGTCAAGATTTGCAATTTTTTTAAGCCTGTTTTCAAGAAATTGGATTTCAAGAACATCTGTTGACATGAGTCTGGATTTTATTTACATATTTTACCCAAACCTACACTATTTTATGTACAGCATGATTTCTTATTTTATGTGAGACTGGCACCAAGTTCTTGCTTTTTTGTTAAACTTTATCCATTATTCTGGATATACGTAATGTAAACCTGTTGCAATGATTCAGGATTGTATAGAGTACTTAAATAGGTACCACTGAAATGGTCTGTAGCTGTCGGTGTTGAGTAGTGAATGGGACAGATTTTTGGTGGACCGCGTTAGATTTGTGAAAGAGTGCCTTCTGCTGGCTCGACGGCTGGTTGTTCATCGGTTTTATAAATTAGTTGCAAATGTATTATGTAACATAACTTTAATAATACTTGCTAGAGAAATTGTCAGATCCAACTCATTAGTGTTTTGCTGTTTTATTATATTATTATTTATATGCTATATATGTTTTTGTATTGTATGTATGTATTTGTTGTATATATACAACTAAATAGGCTGGTACTTCCCCATTAACTTTCTACTTTTATTTTATTTTTTTATTTTCTCCTATTTCTTTCCCTAAAATATAAATGATAATAAAAATGTTTTTTTTTTCAATTTGTTCTTATTTATTTGTAGTGCACTAGACGAAAAAGAGAAACGGATAAGAAATTTTGTTTTTGTTCGGAATCGCATACTTTCTGAAAGTAAAATGCAGAAGGACAATATAGTTTGGCATTGTACTTACGGAAGCAAATACAAAATACAAAATCTTTATTTAAAGCGAGGATGTTGAACACTTGAACCTATGTATCGTGATATTTTTACTATTCTTTTTACCTCATTGAAAGAGGTTCACCGACCACGCACTATCTACGTGATAGCCATCGAATTTTATGTCAAAGTCTAGCTTATGTAGGGAAAAAAACACAATAAATTTATTCTATAATATAAATATTAGTCTTAAAAAAATACTTTAAACAAAATTTTACTTCTATTTTATATTGTAGAGTTTTTAGTTTTCATATTGATAGTATGTTTATAGTTAATGAGATAAAATTGGAGAGAAATGTACTGACTTAAGACTGTAAATGGAATTTTAGGATACGGCGAACAAAATATATTCCATATTATAAACGGAGAAGATGAAAACTATATGTAAATATCTTTCTTCACGTGATTAATTCTAATTTATTTTTACAGTGCAATGGATAAAAAAGCCAAATGGGAAGGAACTTATCATTGTGAACCAATACACATTTTATATTCAGAAGAACTGCACAAATACTATTAACTGGGGTTGTACCTATCGTGGCTGTAAATCCCGACTTGTTACCACCAATGAAGATAAGCCATTGGAACGTCAAGTCCTGTCGTTTAAAGAAACTCATGCGCACCCTCCGCCGAATTATGCAATAGCTCGAGGATTTTATGTAAAGCTGTAGCCAACATTCTTGATTTTATGTTAAACTAGCTTTTACCCGCAACCTTGTTCGCGCGGAATAGTGACTTCCTGCAGATTTTTTGTTTTAAAACTCCTATTTCCTTTCTCGAGTTCTAAAGTACCAAATTTCACACAAATAGGTTCAGTAGTTTAGGCGTGAAGAAAAGACAGACAGACAGACAGAGTTACTTTCGCATTTATAATATTAGTTTGGATTGTAGTAAATATCATGGATTTTATTTATAGTTGCGGGCAACATTTGGATTACACGCCCCACTTCTTTAAGACACAGTGGTCATTGCACGACCATGATGTTTTAATAGGTAATATTTTTATCTCAAATATATTAGTCAAAGTAATATTGCAAACTAGCGACCCGCCTTCGCACGGGTATACTTATACGGGTATAGGTAGGTACATATTACTACATATAATACAAAATTTTTCACTATTTTATGGATGGGTTAAGGAGAGGGTAAAATAACTAACCGGCCCGTACTCACAGTATTATTATCTTGCTGCATTGCGTCGCAAAGGTTCACTCATTCTTAGCCTATTTCATGTTTGATTTTTTGTTTGTATAAGGTTCTGTGTTAGCCTACTGATATCTATCATTATTTTTTATTTCATCTGTATTAGATACAGAAAGACAGCCAAATATTTTACAGATTGCATTTTTGCATCAATATCATCAGAAATATATTTCATTTACAGAATTATTGTTTCTCTACAGATTTATTATAAGTATATATGGTAGGTACTTGCATCATATGTTGATAAAAAGTAGCCTATGTGCTAGTCTTTCCTGTGCCTGTGCCCAGTGTGTGTGTATCCAGATACGTCCAGCCGTTTTGGCGTGTTAGAGTAACAAACATCCAAACATCGTAAATTTCGCATTAATAATAGTAGTAAGAAGTAATGTAGTCAGAAGATAGATAGATAATGATTGACAAAAGACTTACCCATGACTCTGTCTCATTTATTTACAGTACAGTGGACAAAAAAGCAAAACGGAAAGGAAGTGTTAATTTTGGATGGATACACGTATTTTATGAAAAATAAATTTACCAAGACAATACTTTGGCATTGCACTTATGGATGTAAATGTAAATCCAGGATTACTACTACAAATGAGGAGGACCCTCTGTATCGGCATGTCATCTCATTGAAAGATAGCCACAACCACGTACGACCGACCTACGTGATTAACAACGGATTTTATTTGAAACTCTAACTTGTGGATAAACAAAGAAAGAATAACAATTTAGTGTGATTGATAACGGCGTACTCACGTAACTATTTGGCGAGGTAAGTCTAGGAGTTTCAGCTCATACTAGACGTTCACAGTAATTAGCGGCATCTCGCAATAGCCGACATGACGCGGTGAAAGTTTATCTAATATCTTGCCAATTATCTGCGTGAGTAAGCCGTAAAACATTATTAGAGTTTCAACTATCTTCTAGTGCCTGTTGGATACCATAAAGTTTTATTCATAAGTCAAATGTTTAAAGAAAAATAAACCTGATTTTTCCTACCTTGCCTTTGGCAGCGTGCCACTTCGATTGGTCCAGACAATTGTGATCATTGATATTGTGCCAGCAATCATTTTTCTTAATAATGCTTGTTTGCGACCAAATTAACGTGTTTTTTATAAACGAATGAAGAAATGTATGTAACCATTATATCAATGGGTGTTTGACAAACACAAATGTTTATTAGTATAATGTTATTTATTACACGCTTTCCGACAAACTTGGTAAGTACCAAACAATTTTTATGTTGTTTATAAATGAAGTACCTACAATGTTTTTGGTAATTCTTGTTTCTTTCTTTGTTTCCAATTTTAATTGTACAGTGAAATTTGAAATTCCGCACTAAATAGTAAACATTGCTTCAAATATTTCTCTCTTGTTCATTTTTAATATTTCAAAAACCACCTTTTAGTCTTTTGTCTCATTGATTTCGAAGTATAACTAGAATTATTTATAGAGATGCATGGCTTCTTCTTACACTGCTGACAGCATTTACCGCATACATTTTTCATAGTGGTGGCAAATGCTGCCGGCTCTGCACTGTCCGAGGACGTCTTAAGGTTTATATATCATGACTAATTGTATAAAATTGACGTTCCATAGTAGAGTATTGATAATCTTTAGCGTGTTTAAGTCATTGTATTCTATTTTTTGTAATAAAAATTATGTACAAATTTTGAGTTTTTCTGCTAAGTAAAGTTAACAAAATCAATGTGTAAGTCTTAGGTTTTATTCTTTTTATTTAATTTATTTTATATGTCCAATTTTCAGTGATACAATGGGCCAGAAAAATGAATGGAAAACAGTTAGCCATTTTGGGCGGTTATACTTTTTACTGCCGGATATACAATGTGAAGACGCAAGTATGGAGTTGTACTTTTGGACAGAAATGCAAAGCGAGGTTAATATTGTCCAACGATGCTGATCCTTATAGTCGGACGATATCATCAGCAAAGTTAGAGCATACACATGCTGCTCCAAAATTTATTGTTCGTAACGGACTTTATGTGAAGTTTCGCTAGTTATTGAAAATAAAGGACAATACATAACTAAATGTGTTTTTTTTTTGTTTCTGACAATGTCTTTTTTACCATTAAAATATACATATATCCTAAACCCTTTGTTTTTTTAAGTGAATGTTAGTTGCATGCGAATTTGCGCTTTCCGAATATCTGATTCTGGTCCACAACTTCTGTTGTTGTTCAGGTGGCTAGTGTATAACTACATCTCATGGTCATTAGATTTATTTTTTAATCCTCTTCTAGATTTAATAATTTCCAAAACAGTATACTAAACCTGTTAAATATTTTTCAGTGCTTCAATTTGTAAGAAAGAAAGACGGCAAGGAATTGGCAGTGGTCAACGGTTATACATTCTATTGTCATAAAAGCAACGTGAAGACGAATACTTGGAGCTGTACCAAAGGAGGTTTCTGTAAGGCGAGGCTCATTATCACAAACGATACGAAAGCAGCACACCGGACTGTTGTCTCTGCCAAACTGGAACACGTTCACCCGCCGCCATCTTTTATTATCTCCAACGGCTTTTATGTCAAAATTTAAATATAGAATTTACTATCTTAATATTGTAATCGTAAAAATAAAACTTAGCATTTTCGATCTCCAAATTGTAATATGAAAATGACAGTTTTCGGATGTCAAAATTATATTAACAATTTAGTGTCGGTTGGTATTTTGAAAGTATAGTTAAGCTCCAAAGTTCATTAGACATTGGGCAATTGAAGGTCTGTTTTGAATTTCGTAATTTGTTTTAAATAGCCGCTGGTAAATACCAGAAAGATAAATAAATATAAAATTAGACAGACATAAAGGACTCATATGCACCTATAGCAACATT